CCCAGTTAGAAACCAGCAGAAGCAGATGTTGAAGCTAATTTTGAAGAGATTGATAGTATACTAAAAAAAAAAAAAAAAAAGAGGAAATAAACACGAGTTAGATTCAACTTACTCTCATCAACAGATAGAGTACTTTGCTCAGAATTCTGTTTCTCTGAAGAATAACAAACAATAGCTGTATCAGCATAGGATTGAGCCTAATATAGGGTTAAACATCACCTACATTTCGCTGCCTCCCATTGAAGGGCCTTTTTAATTCTATCTTTGAAGGCGTTATTGACGGAGTAAAGTTAATTTCCTAAATTAATGATGAGGACTGAAGAAGCCCAAGCCATAGACAATTTGTATTACTACATAAACAGGTCCTATATTCATCAGAGGTTCCCAATATCATATTCAAAATAGCAATACTGATAACAGAAGAGATTCTTCTATCACAGATGAGAAGTACTGTGACGGGCATTAACATAAACAATAAATATGAGTCTGTACAGAACTTCATACAGAGAAGAGTTTCCAAACACTGCTATAGTTTCTCAGGGAAAGAAAAGGCACAGAGAACCACCACATACAGTCAGATTCGTCCCCGCGCAAGCGCAAACAAGACCACTGGTATAAGCAGAGTTGCACTTGGACTAAGGACAGGAAATATAGTTCAAATTTAACTCACATGGAAACAGGCTCAATCTCCTGCAATAAAGCACCTGCTTAGTTCAAAGATCTAAATTTACTACAGCAAAAAAAGTTACGAAATAACAGTTTTCTTCTGTTAGTAATATACACTCCAGAATTCAGTACTATTGAAAATAACCCTTGCAGAGAACAAGGCGGGGGGGGGGTATTTATTCCCAATGAAGTAAACATGCTATTATTTCAGTGTATTCAGACACCTTCTCAAGGAAGAAAAGATCTAAAACAGAAGCTTATGACATCATTTAGTTTCACTAAATACTAAACTCATTTAAGTGAAAGATTTTTATTTGTCCAAAAGAAAAACTACTTTGTCTTTGGCCCTTCTTCTGCAGTCCAAAGTCCTACCAAATATGTTATTACTGATACAATAGTATTTTAGAACGCAAACACGTCTGCATTTTAAAAAGCACCAAAGCCACACGGAGAACTGCTATCATGCATAGACTGAATTCCCCCTCTTCTCCCCAATACATTTTTCTCAGATTAATAGAAGCATGTAGAACAGTTCACTGCCAGGATTTATTTCAGTGGTACATGAAAAGAAAACACATGGGAATTAAAACCTTTCCAGTGATTATAACATCTAATTACAGGTGTTTTAAGAAAGATAAATTTCATCAGAAATTGCGTTGTAAGAGGTCACGGAATACTTTGAAAAGCTACCATAGGTAACAGTAGTAAACAATATTTAAGACTGCTACTGTGTGCACAATACTAAAGAAGGGAGTATACAGTTTTGTGCAGTGTCCTACTTACACACAAGCAGATTTAATCACAGCTGCTGTGGGCATTTTCAGTGAAGTCCTGCGGTGCAAAGGATTATTTTACAAAACGCAGCTTCTGTCTCCAGTGACTGAGAAGGTTATCAGCTCCCATGCAACATTAAGGAGCTTGGGTTTCTTCCCCATGTAAAGTGCCTCTGCATGGCTGTATGACTCCCCCTCTGAGCTGTGCATGAATGGCAGATGCACCCCAATTAGAAGAAACTGGATCCTGGTCCACAGCAAGTCACCAGCTGCAGTCTGGAATTCAAAGACCACAATTCTTTCATCTTTGAGCTCTCCACTGGAATCTCCTTGCATGGAACATGGTAATACAATCATACAAGTAATATCAGAAACAGAGCAAGAACTCAAAAACTGTAGGTTATTTGCAGTTCAGGAGGGATTTGTCTGAAGACGTAATTCCCATGAAAAGTAAAGTATCTGAAAGCTTTAGCGCAAAACAAAAACTTGTGAGATTCATACAAATATGAAAATGGTTTCAAATATTGCTCTAAAGTGTAATAAGACTGTATAAGCTGTAAGCCTCAAGATAGTTTTAATCCATGCACTGAACACAGTACCCTCTAAACCTGCCATCATTACAGACGACTAGAAACAATTCTCAATACCAAGCATTAGGCTAAGATACAACTAAAATTTACAGCAGCTAGACATTCTTAAACTCCAAATTGCAACAAAACTAACCAGTTTGTATACTGTGGAAACCCTAACACAGAGGCTCTCAGACCCTGGAAGCCTATGCAATAAATTGTCTAAGGAAGTCATTGCAAAACAAGTATCACAGAGCGCTCACTTTCTCTTTCAAAAGAATCCCAACTAAAAGAACCAAGGCTTTGAGAAAGTGAGCGAAAAGGAATCCATTCAGTTCTCAAGCAACACTTCTAAACATACACACCAATGATATTTGCTCCTCTCTCCCATTCAAGCTGAACTTTCTCTTTTCCATTCATAACCGACAAGACAGTGATTAGTAACTAACCCTACTTACCATACATGGTAGGCAGCGGAAAGCTATGTTATCTAGAACATGGGAGACTAACCTGTGCTCTTTTTTCAGCGCTGCAGTCTGAGATTTTGTGGGACATTCAGAGCCACCTCCCATCCTTTTCAAAGACCTCCATTTCCTTATCAAACAAAACCATTTCTAAAGCTAACTACCTTTCTTTTTTTTTTTTTTTTTTTTTAATTACTTGATTTTTCTTATTCTACCTCCACCCTCAAATGTACACAACACGTTTAAGTATAAGCACCTCTGGAAAAACAGAAATTTTGCAGACTGATTGCTTTGAACTGAAGAGCTTTACAATTTTATGACATGGATCATGTCATTAAAAAAGAGCTTATTCCATTTAAATTCTCCATTTATAATTCATGTCATCTCTATAGTAAGTGTAGCAATTGTTTACGTGGCAGAATGGTATCCTGGAAGTACTTAAACGTGGCTTTAGCTTTCTAAATACAACATGACAGCAGAAAACAAGGACAGTATCACGATCACTTAGCTCTTTGACAAGTGCTTCTTGAACTACTTTGCTCACCTGTACTAAATCATTTCTTTACATGAGACATTTCTTTCTGAAAGATATGATCTTGGTTTAATTCCAAGTCAGTGACTCGTGTAAGAGTGTTTACTTTTTTAATCAGAGGGAGAAAGGGAATAGACAAGTTGCTATATAAATTGTTTTATAAAAGAAAAATCCAAAAATCAGAGAAAGTGTATTTTGATAATTATATCACAATCTGGAAGAATTAAAGATGGAATATCCTGCAAGAATTGTAACTGAGAAGTAAGGCAGAAGAACAGGGATTCTACTATCAAAGGAAAATTTATATGCTCTGAAAATTTTGTTTTCATGTGACTTGTCACATGTGTTTCCCAAAAGGTAAATAGCTTACATTTAAAAGTCAAACAAAAATTTAAAATAAGCTAGATAACTGTATCTAATAAATAATTTTTTAAATAACTTCAGTTAAACTCAAACATTGGAAACCAGTGATTAAGCGGTTACAGCTCTGAATTGTATTGCTAATAAAACGTCCTCAAGAAAAAAGTAAAGGAGCAGGTCCAAAATGTTATGGAATGCAACTTACTTAAAGTCACTGGATTAGAAACATCTGTCATCTTAAACCATAGAGCGTTTCGTTAGGTGCTATTTTTGCAGTTCCCATCCAGTGCAAGATTAGAGTTACTCTCATCATAACAATAAAAATACTTGTTTTCACAATAAATTATCTTCTATGAGCTTATAAAATTCCTGAATAGCCCTACCCGTGGGACCCTTGCACTACCTCACTCCATCTTCTAAGAGGAAATGCCTACAATTACTAAGACAAAGAAAGTAATCATCTCTGACTCCTGAATCAGGACCACTAAATGCCTTTTCTGACTTCAAAATTCATTATGCGATTCCAGATTGTCAGGTTTTTGCATCCAGCTGATCTCTTCCTGTGCCAGATCCTTTTCCATTAATGTTCTGTTTGGCTGAATCTAGAAGAAAAAAAAGTTGTAAAGAGTTAAATATAGCACAAACGTTTGGAAACTCTGTGTTGCTCTGTACTGTCAATATATCACTATATGAAGATGTCCTACGTACCTGCTGATAAAATTGAAATGTCTATGCAGCAATTATGATGTTTAAAAACAATTCTAGTAACAAAACATTAAACTCTGATATAAAAATATTAACTGTCATGGAAGAAAAAAGGCATTCCAAATGACTAACATCATTTCTTATACTCATATAGTGCATTGTATCCACATACCATTGATAACTATGCTGCAGAGTCTGTGGGACATCTTATGCTTGGAGACAGCTGAAACACTGGACTCTGCCATTTTTTTCACTAATACATAACGAAAAGTATGAACGGTATCACTGAGTTTTACCAGCCCAATAATCTCCAGTATTGTACTCCCTAAGGTAATAGGGTTGGAGAGTCTCCTAAAGCCCCTTCACCCAAGAATAGTGCAGAACTTATATTTCAGTCATTCTGGATGGTCACACACACTAGCACAGTCACGGTAGCATGGAAAATTATGCACAAACAAAACAATTTTGGCAAAAAGTGCTTGGGTAGAAGCAGCAATGACTGGTCACTTCATTTCGTTTGTCCAGGTTAAGCCACCCTTTCAGAAATTAAGCAAAGATGCCAGTTAAGCAAATATCTTGAGTTTCAACTGTTCCCTCTTTCTCAAATTTAATCATTTAAATATACAGGAAGCACTTCTGTGCAAATCTACCACAGAAGAGAGCGCAAAGGGTTCACTTATGACCTGTCAAAAAGTTGGTGGCTTTTTAAATTAAGCTGAGTTACTATCTTAACAGGAACTAGGGACCTAACTGACCGAGACTCAAGTTCCAAAAAAAGAAAGCTGAGAGAGAGAAACCTGCCTTATTTCATTACAATAATGTGTTGCCATAACAGCTACTTAAGAGTCTTCTGGCATATCAGCAAATTTTTTTACTGGGTGTTAGTCAGTGCATATCCTTCTTGCGATTATGGCTGCAACCTCCCCCAGGATTAACACAGTTGCACACACCTATGTTCAGACGCATATGAAAGGGAAAGAAAAAAATACCATCATTAATCAAAGCTTCCAATTACCTGAAAAGGCTGGCTGATACCAACTATTGACTGCATGTTATTGCTATAATAACAAAGCACAAATTCTCCTCCCATATCAGGTATTTCTTCAGCATTCATGTAAACCTACCAACAAGAAAAAGAATAGGCAATGGACTATTTGCACAGAGAAAGCAACTTGCAAAAAACATTCATTCAGGACACCATAAAATGCAGTATTTACAAATAAGCCAGTTTTGAAACATAATTTTAAGAAGAGGACAGAAGTAACGTTATTACCCGAAGTGGTTAATGAAGTATTACCCATCCCTAGGAACCTCCTTACGCTTTAGGATAAGGCTACATAGCATGGCTACATGGCACGGCTGAGCCAATCTACCAGCTTGTTACTTTAGAAAGGGGGTGAGGTATTTCTTCTGTCCCCCCTCCATCCACAATGGAGATCATTTGACTCCACCGAAAACTACCCTGGCAGAATTATTCTACAATACTGGCCACTTTTTTCTGTGTGCTATTTTTCCCCGTTTATTTAAGAAGTTGACACAAAGAGACAGATGGACCTGTACAGAGGGGAGGGCAACTGAGATGACCCACTAAACCATCTGAAAACTAAGCCAGGGATGGAAGAGTGAATATTTGTCACCATGTTAGCAAGCTGAATTTGTTCAGTAAGAAACAAGAAAAAAGCCACAGTCGTTTGAGGGAAACGGCAAGACCACACAAGCAGGACAGAGAGATGAACTGCCTCCTGGTGGCAATAAGCTGTTAGTTGAGAGAGTGGAGGAAAACCTGCAACCTCAGTTTTGAACTACCCTAAAGACCCATGGTCCCTAAACTGCCGCCCACAGTACCCTGCTAAAACAACATTCATAGTTTTTAAAGTTCAGAGATATTTTGAGGTTAAGAATACTGACAAAAGACGTTTGGAGCTCTTGTTATAAACTGGTTGACTGACACAATTCCTAACGAGAAAATTGCTTTCTTTTAAAGGACTATCTGGAAAAATCTCATCTACTCCTCTGCTGACTTTGCCTTCAAAATTAAATTTCTACTTCTGTTTGTTCAGACAAATACCTCTGGAAATAATTCATTTGTATTCAAGATAAGGATAAAAGTTGTTTGAGATTTTTTAATTGCTTTAGTTAACCACTACTAGAAAGTCGGCAGTCTTTAAAAATGGGTCAAGACTCTTAACAGCCAAAATAATAAAAAGTCTAAGGAACCTGTATCATTAGCTGCATCAGATATCTCTTACTAATTGTGTTAGTTACTTTAGGTATTTACAACTGTAATGGAAACCATACAACAAATACTTAAGATACATTGAGCCACTGTGACAATCAGATGGTAAATGGCCAGTTGCTCATTTTGGTGGTAAAATTAAACCAAAATACAAAATGGATTAAAATGACAATAGTTCTTTATACAATGAAGAGACACTACAGGAATAAAGTGTTATTTCATCAATTCCCCCAAGCAATTCAGACCTGAGAAACTATGCTGCGCTACCCAAAAATAAAGGAGAAATAGCAAGAGGGATTACAAACAGTAATATCATTCCCAGTTGCTTTGGGTGGGAAAAAGGGGGATATAGAACCCAGAGGGGGAAGCAGAAACGGAACAAACAGATCTTGAAGGCTACTATATAAGAAACTACTAGAAAGAAATATATAATTGGATTACTTGTTTACTGTCACTGTTAGAAGAAATTTCATCGTCTTTTACCCAAGCATAAGTGACATAGTCATTCACATGCTTGAATGTCACCTGCAAAGAAAGATGCAAACCATCAGCTTTCTGAAGGACAAACATACTACATGAAAAACTCAAAGCTATGAGAGGCATGATTACTACTTCATTGAAGGTCTAATTAAAACACTTCATTTTTAAAATCAAAATATTTTGGGGGCATGCATGAACCTTCAATATCTGAGAGGATGTGAATGCTGTTCTTTCATCTTTCTACCGCCTTCCTTTCATTCTCGTTCTCTTTTTGCTGTATAAATCTTTGAACTGCAGCATTTGGGAAGGACTATTCCTTTCCATAGCTTCTACCTACCATTTTGCTTAAATAACGCACGACTTATACTTAGCAGAGCATCTTGCACAGAGTGAAAAAGCCTGTGTCCATCTTTGTGGAACTAAACTCTCAGCATACAGAAACATCAACTATCAAGGATATAAGACCATTTTGGTGAGCTTTACATTTGCAAGAATCGCAACGTCCTGTGCCAGAAAACTACCTCCTCCAGTCACATTCACCACCTTCATTACTGTAAAGAGTCACGATGCGCTGGTAACATCACCTTGAAAAGTCCAATCCAGTCCCAAGCACTGCTAGGGAACTCGGGCACTGCAGAGTAGCTGATTAGAACATCATGTTCAGCGCTCCATTCACCCTCAGGATTCAACGTGACAAAAGGAACTGATAAAAGAGGCTTCATCTAGAACAGAAAACAAAATTTAAAATAAATCAACTCTGTTATTCTTTCAGTTACTCTTACAAGTTAATTTTCTACAACACCTGCTGTGGGACTCTTAACAGAACGGAAATAGCCTGAAAACAATTTTGGTCTTCATTTTTATCAGAACAAAACACTGAGACTATGACTGACAAAGTTTAGAGAACCAGCTTAGTAGAACGAACTAGCTTTAAAGAGTTAAGGCAGGACAGCACCTCAAGCCCAAAAGTTCCTGTAACAGGCTTGTGATCGCTGATGCCATAGCTCATGTGACTGATATAGTTATTCAAAGTAACAGATATCGTCTGTTCTTCAGATAATTCACTTTCTTTTGATGTATGCTGGCAGAGATTCTTCACTCTCCACAGAATTCTATCAGTCCAAGCTGGCTTTCTTTTCTTCTCACTGTAAGAGCGCAAAATAAAAGTAAAATGAGTAGAAAAACAGTTGTCAGAAGCTAAGAATACTGTGCAAAATCTACTCAAAGTTGAAAGATTGTCAAGTACATGTATTAATAAAAGAAAGCAATCGCATCCAAGCTTCATTTTACAGCTCTTTACCATGCTTCACAACCGAGACTTCCTTAATTTGAACTCAGCTCCATTTATAGGAGATAAATTTCACAGATTTCTGAGAGAGAGGAGTAAAATGAAGGGAAGAAGGGGCATTCCCATGTGTTAGTCAAGTTTTGTACAGGACATGATACTTTCTCCTAAAACACACCATAAAAACATGCAAGGACACTGAGATAATACAGCAACTGCCCCAAACTTCAAATGCCTAGTCATTCTCAGGAAAGGGACATAACTTTAAGGAAGATGTAGAAAGAGTCTGAATGATATTTACTTCCTTATCCAAAACTTTTTTTAGAACAAGTTGCTTTTAGTAACTAAAATTGGGCAAACTTATGTCATTTATACTAATCATAGATGACACAGCAACGTTTTATTTCAAGTTCCTCTAATCCGTACTAGCCTGTATTTCAAGTCTTGAAACTATTGTTGCCGCATAAGAAAAGGCTTTAAATCCCCTAACGAAGAAAAGTATGCCTGTAGTCTGCAACTGTGCTACACATCAAACTGCAATCATAATTCAGAGTTTCCTTTTATACCATATCAATAACAACAGAAGACATGAGCCTTTCGTGGTTCTCTCTGTAGTGGGAGGAAGACTTAACAGCAACCCTCTGTATGGATGTATCACTTCAAATTGAAATGGAGAAAAGATCATACCCTATGGAAGAGGAATTAGAATGGACTGGATTGAATTATAAAAGTTAATGAGCAGGATGTGTAAGGAAAACTGTCAGTTTAATAACTTGGAATATTAAAATCATCATAAACTGGAAATGCCATTTAGTTTAATGCTCAACATGCTTTTTCTTTTACCCCTTCCCATACATATGTTTGACTCACCTTTAATAAGGTGGAAAGATTTTTAAATGACTAAGGGGACATACCCACTTACTTCAGTAATTATATAAACCGACAGAAATCTTTACGAGCTGCCATATGTCTGCTCTGCTGTGCAAGAAAATACCAAAACAACAGCTTAAGTTAATACACTTGCTACTTCAGAGAAAATGGCATATAAGATGGGATAGAAAAATCTCAAAGCCACATTGAAAAAAAAGTACCAAAGGTAACACATTACTGTCTGCTTCATATAAAGCAAACTTTGCAAGGATGCTTAGAAGATCCCAGTGCCTTGAAATCTGTTCATCACTCTCCAACCAACCAAAATACCTCTGCTAGCTTTAACAACAGCAAAACGCACATAGCACGCATAAGCATATTTTGTTTATTTATTTGTCAACTGTATTTACTGCTGGTCCCTTTATATCTGTTCACACTCAATTAGACAGCAAAAAGTCTCTGAATCCAAATTAGTAAATTTCTAAGATTAAGTGCAACAGCAGAGTAGATAACACTACAGCTTTCTGACAGGTTCAGAAAATCCTTGAAGAAAATCAGCTGTTATCTGATTTTCACATATTTCACAAAAATCAAATCCAAAGCTCAGAAGGAGCATTGTTTTGATTCTGAAATAGATTTATAAATCTATGAAATCCAAAAAGTTATCTTCTTACTTAAACCAAAACAGGGACTTCTGCTCTCTGGAAATAAAGAAAAAGATCAGTACAAAACCCCTGTTTGGCCAGGAGCTTATTCTTCCGCTGAAGCATTTGATTCATACTTAACAATAAACTTTACAGTCAGAGAAAAACATAACTCAGATATTTAAAAAAACTCTGGAAACAAGAATTACTGTGTTTAAACAAACGTGAGCTTATTCTGATAATCTAGTCCTCCCCCCCCCCCCAAAAAAAAAAAAGAGCCGCTGGTGTTTCAGTCACACAATCAGCAGACCCAGGCTGCTTCAGCCAGAAACATTCATTTATTCAGATCTGAACACTGAATAAGAGTTCAACAGCCTCAGTTATCTTATAAATTAAGGAAAGTTTAGGTTTGCTTTGCAATATGATATTTACTCAAGTGCCTGGTTCGTTCTAATATTCCATATCTTAACATATGTTACTGTGCTTTTACCTCGTATCATATACATCCGAATAAAGGTCAAACTTGTAGGTGGGTTTAAACTGCAAAGGACCCTCTATGAAGTCCTGAAGAAATGCTTCCTTCTTCTTTGCCATATTTAACTGCAGAAATAGTGTGTTTATATAAAAGAATATTTAATAAAGAATAGCTTGTAAAAGTAACATTAAAAAAAAAAAAATCAGAGCTTAAAGGATAATCAGGAAAGGATCTGAGAAAGCATCTTCCAAGAAGAATTCAACATCTCAGTAAGTACAACACATCAACAAAATTTAGAAGGTCTCTTTGCTACTGCCAGAACAGTTGACGTGATCTGTTTAGAAGTTTTGTTGCAGTTCTACGCAAAACCAATTCCAGAATCAGCTTCTCTTTTAAAAAATAATTATTAGATGAAGGAAAAAGGAGACGAAATCAAGGCATGGAACAATTCACAAGCCATGAAGTTCACTGAAAGCTTCAGTCATATATGAGCACTTGAAATGAGTATGAAATGAAAAAAAAGTAGAACAAGTTTGCAATTAATTATATGGTCCTGCTTATGACTGAAGTGAGAGAGCAAACAGCTAGATCAGCTCCAGCTCAAAGCTGCTCTGAATTTGTGTTTCTTCAATAGAAATGAGAAATACAAGAGACAATAATGTTGTGTTGTGTTTATAGATAATAAAATAATAATAATAATAATAAATAAAACAGCCTCCCCCCCCCCAAACACACACAACATACCTGGTCCTTTTCCCACAGTAGATTATAACGTCTGTTATTTATCGATTCTCGGACAAAATGTATGCCATAATCTGCTATCCGGAAGTTTAGATCTCCAAACCAGAAGAGAATGCTTAAGGGAGGAGAGGAGGAAAAAAAAAGGCTTTACAGGAATCCATAAACATAAGAGTGAAAAATTGGAAGAATTCAACAGAACGTAAGCCATCACGCTACTTAGGAGCTCTAATCACTTATATTACCTAATCCAAACAGCACAAACAAAAATATTAAGTAGTTACAGATAAACTTACAGACGAATAACCTACTAAACAACAATTTTAAAGGAACTGAAATAGAAAGTGGACTGTCTTGCATTCTTGCCACTTGCACATTACCGGGTATTATCCCGTCCCAAGTCCCCTAATGACTTACATCTCTAAAGATTTAGTATTAAACAGTAGTCCCAGTAACAGTCAGTAAAATCATTCCCAAGATTCATGACCTATACACCAGCTGGATATGTTAATCAACTAATTTAGAGCATTGGTTTAGTGCTTTGAGAAAGCAGGGATACATACTGCATGTTCTGTAATTCTCAGAAATGGAAGTCATTATTAATAAGCGTTGGAGCATGACATCAGCAATGTTTTAGGCAATAGGAAAGCTGCCTTTTCTTTTAAAAGGAATCTCTCTTTTAACTTTCATACTTTTGAAATATTGTTCAGGGGTGCATGCTCCAAACTTGATCTTCTGGAAAGAAAATTTTTATTTCAATGCTGTTTATAATTTCTTCTTGTAATACGATTGTACATGATTTGGCACTTTTAGCATGGGCATTACCAAGAAAATGAAAACCATTAAATTGAAATATCAAAAACTTGTACTGAGATAGGAAAAGAAATGATTTTTAAATTCATGTTTCATACATATTTACCTAATTTTAATGAACCCATTAGCAATCGAAGTGATATTACATATTTATTCTGGATGCATCTGGCCTGACAGTTTTATTAGTATAATTTTTTTTTTAATCCAAACATAAAAGTTTTGTCTTAGAAACATTTTAGAAAGGGTTACTATCACTTTTAGACTCCAGCATGATGTAGGGAATTTGCACATGCAGCAACATAACATATAAATAATTCCGACACAATTAAAGAATTAAAGAACAAGAGCTCAACTAGTGGCCTAAATGAGGGGGGTTTTTTTGTTTTTTTTGTTTTTTCCAGGTTAGACATCTGAGGTAGGTATAATTCATATAGCTACAGAAATTATAAATTAAGCATTTAAAGGCCGAGAAGCCCTCAGCCAGATGCTAAAGTTTCAACAGGAATAAAAATGGGTCAAAATACAACATATCTGCACACAAAAATAGGGAAGAAGATAAACATCTCCCAGTGATCTAAAAGATTTCTGATATAAACGGGCTTTAGCTTCTAAAGCTCTTCATGCCTCCGTAACATCTGCAATTCATGTGCTAACAAATTCAGTATAACTTGAGATGGGAAGAGATCACTGCTGCAAAATAGACCTCCATCTTTCAGGTTATCGTTTCCAGCCTGGTCCCCCAGGATTCAGGGACCACATCGAACAGACACATAAAATAAAACTGATGGGAGAAAAGTCCAAAGCCAAAGCTCTTCAGTGCAGAAAGCCACAAATTAAGAAAGTATACACAAAAACAACACAGACAGAATAGGGTCAGAATAACTCACTCATGATCCAGGGTACTTGGAACATTCTCTCCTTCAAACTGCATTTCCAGAATTTTCTCAAAGTCATCCAATCGTTGCTCTGTGTTCTCCATGTGAGCTGGCAAATGGCAGTTTATGAAACAAACTGTATAACCATAGAGGGACATGCGAATGGTAACTCCTCCTTTGTTCCCCTGCCATGGAAAGTTAACAGTATTCTCTGAAACTGCAATCAACACTTGCAAACGCAACTATTAACATTACCTATACCATTTTTAATCTTGCTATTTAGGAAACAGTTGTGTTCATTTAAATCTAAATAAGTAGCAAGTAATAGCTGTATTTCAGCTAATAAATTGGTGAAATATTATGGTCTGTACTGCACTTGCATACAAGGTTCAACTAAGTGAGACACATACGGCTTGTCAATTTATTCATTATTAAATAAACCATACATCCTCTCTCCCACCACAAGGCTATTTAGAGGCACGCACCAACATAAGCATTAAGTAACCAAAGCAATTAAGTCTCAGATAGTTCTTTACCCAGTATCCATAGAGGCCTGTGCGCATATATTGGGTATGAATGTCCCGTATGAAAGGAAGGTGGACATACTTCACAAAGATTAGAAGTAGCAATCCCTGCATGCGAACAGAGGAGAGCTGGAACAGAAACAGAAGACAGGGTCACTTCCACAGATATCTCTGGAATTCCTTGGATCTACTCTGCAGAAGCTTTTAGATAAAGAATGCCATACCAGAAGTCATGCAATTCCCTTGGCAAGCCTGACATCAGTACTGTGATACAACACATGCAGACACATTTCGGTGCTATAAAGCATAAGTTCTCACGGTAGACTTGCTTATGAACAATTTTTGATAAGTCTCTCAACTAATTAACATTACTGTATTATATTACAAATCTGAAGTTGACCTCAAAACATGAGTATTTGTCCACACAGTAAGTCTTTAAAGACCTTTTTTCTGTCTCATCAGCCTATTGTTTCTCTCTTTAAGCATCCTGTTCATGAAGAGACAAATCCTTGATTTTTCAGCCATAATCTTAACAGCACCAACCTACAAGTCCTCCAACAAGAAAGCTTTTCCAATAGAAACATCCTTCAGCACATAATTGACTGTTCTGAACTCCATTAAAAATATCTAAAAGGCACAACAGCTACTTCTAAGCATCTGCAGAAATAACAAGCTGTAAACAGCAGCAACTCTTGCTGCAATGCCTGTAAAAGCTGATTTACTGACTACTTCCAAAAGAAAGATCCTTAAGGAGCATGTATGACACTGTTTTTGCTTTAAGATACTTTTTTTTTTTTGGTATAGAAATAGCCTAATGAAGATGATCTTTGTTAAAGAATATGTTATTGGGATGTTGCTAGCATGAGACACAAGATTCAGTTTAAATATTTGTTTTAATGATAATGAGTCTATTTAAAACACGGATGTTATAGTTCAATTTTATATTTGATGAACTAACAGCAAGACTACATTAGCATAAAAACTGATACTAAGAAAAACACTGACTATATAACAAGTCCTTATCTCGCTCGAAAATTTACTACAAAATTCATTCGTTCTTAGCCTCTACATCAAAACAATTAAATGATTGTAGGATATATGTTACTGTTTTCATTGTCCGAAAAAAATGCATACCATTAGTATATTTAAATGATGGATCACAATTTACTTTATAATACATAAATATTTGTATCTGATCAGACATTTGGTATAACCTGTATTCTCCTTTCCATAATTAAGTTCAGGAGATACCAAGATCTTTCAGTCCCATTAGAGACCATGACAGGTAAAGAGGAGATCCAGTCTGCGGCTCAAGTCTTCCAGTTTTCCAAAGCTCAAAGTCTATTTGCTACGTTCCACTCTTTTCTGCTGCGGGCCAGCCCCTAAACATAACTCAAGATCCACCGTCCACTATAAAACCTCTTCCCTCTGCAGGCCTTGAATATCAAAACACAATGGCTCCCTCCTTTGCTGGGACTTACACTAGTCCCACCAACATGTAGTGCCAGATCGAGCAAAGCCTCTTCACAGAAGAGACATGACTCTGCTTATGGTGAAAAAACTGACTGATCCCAACAACCTAATGTTCCAAGAACAGACCCTGCTAGCGAAGTGACAGAACATCCAAAGGAGGACTATGACCCCTCTACATCCAACCTCATCCAAGGTCAACATAGAACACTTAACTGTTCCTCTGTTTAAAAAAGCTTATGCTAGGACACATCTGGAAAGCTGGCTCTCCTAGTTGCCCATTTTGATTTTGACCTGGCCTGCCAGTAAGGGAAGGCATGTCAATGACCCAGGTCTCTTGTTGGAGCTAATTAAATCTTGCTGAAAACCATTAGGTGGCAGCATCCATTCACTAGTGCATCCTAAGCTCTGCATCTACAAATGAGAAATTCACTCAGCCATGCATACCATAGGGAATTCATTTTAACTGTATACAGGGCCTGATTATCATCCTGTGGCCATATTTTGAAAGTTTACCAGCAACATCTTACACTAGAATGAACTATGTTTTTCTTTCCCTTTTTTTTTTTTTAAACTTCCAATAGGTCCTTTATTTGATTTAATTACATTTTTGTTTAGTTACGGTTAAAAGAATGGAACAACTATGAGTCTTATTAGCATGCAGATAATATATTAATTTCAGCAAAATCACCCTGAAATAATTTAGAAAACTGCTACAACATTGAAAAGGCTTTTAATATTAATTTATTAGAGAAATTCAGGAGAATTTACTGTTTCCTTCACTAAAATACCTAGTGTTTTATTTGATCTTGTGTCCCATATATTGTCAAAAATCTTGTTGTTTAAACTTTCTATACAATGTTCTAGGCCCTTAATAAAGTCCTCAAAAATCTATACACCTGCTATACTCCTGTTCTATGTTTAAGCAATTTACTTTCACCTGTAAACAAATTAATTAAAAAAAATAAAAAAAGGAAGAAGAAACCTTACCAATCTTAATGAAAATCACTGCCATTGCTTGGGATACTTATAGTGAAAGCAGGTACTTAAGGAGACTACATTAGAAGCATCACATTACAGTTCCCAAATATTGCACAGAGCAAAAAAAATTTCTACAAACAAGAGAAAGACAGAGATATTGTGGCCACAAGAAATATGCTGTTAGACTGCAACTTTACATCACATTTCACTTTAAGTAATCTTGTTCAGTAAACTCTGTTCCTTGAGAATGTATTCTCATTAAAACAGGAGTATTTTCGTATTCATCACATGGTTCTACACCACTTGCATTAGCCACTGCACGCATACCTGAACAAACATCTCCTCGCTGTTTGTCATCCCATCTGCAAAAGCATCAAAACTACCTAGCTATTCCAAACACGAAATAAAATTCTGTGTGTCCAATTTTTACTGCTAAACATTAAGGATACTACTATTAATAGAAAAAAAAAAAAACCTAAAAATGCCTTTACCAACAAACCAAGAGAACACCAGTCTGGCAGAGAATCACTTCTAACATACATGCACCTATGGAAATGATTGATACCTGTAAAAGATGTGTGTTGATGGTGTTTTTTACATCTCAGTTTGAGGAAAAAAAAAGTCTGAACGGAGCCGAGGAAGACATTTTCCTTCACTGTTGTAATATTTAGAGATGTAAACAGTTACCTTGAGGTATCCCAACGGTGACAGTACAGTCATGAAAAAAATGCTCCAAGGATCATCAAATGCCAAGTCAGAGAGAAAGTTTGTGATCCTTGAGTTCACCTCCTGTAAGCTGAACACATGAAAATTACTCGCACCGGATCATCGGGTTTTAACAGAATTCATAGAACCTTATCACAACACAAACCACAACATCCCAATAGACCTCTCTGCACCTAAGCGAGAAATTTCTTAACGCTGTTCAATTTCTCATTTACAAGCAGTTTAACCCATCCACAGGTCTAACACTAAGAAAAGCTAAGTTAAAGGAGCTTATGTACGCACACAGTCAGAGTTCAAGACAATACCAAACTCCAGGTAAACGATGACAAAGAACACATCTTGACATATTCAAGTAAGTTTGGAAAAGGTGACAGTTTCACTAAAAGATGACGCAAATCCAAAAGGGCACAGATTCTACCTAATTAGTTTGCATCCATTTCTTTAAAACATACTGATTTTCAGATAACTTCCCTATCAAAACGAGCATGTTCTCTACTTGCCAACAAAGACCACAGCAGCCAAAATATTTTTTAATTCTATGCGCTTAGATAAAGAAAAGATATTCTATGTTCTGTCATATGAAACAACATCAGAAAGAGGAGAAGAGTCGCTTGCTATAAATCATCTCTGTTCTTTGGCATTAACTCTAACCTTCATCTTCTGTTAGCGACAGTATTCAACCACCTCCTGGAAGGTTATTCACATTGCACAGTTCTCCCCAAGCTGACAGTAAGCTGTTGAAACTTATCGGCTTTGCAGTAAACTAACAAAGCAAGTTCTTCAACATATACTTACCCAATAACATACATATCCATAGCTGGGCCCAGTGAATTGAGCTGAAGTAAACTAGTGACATCAGGAGGTGGAGAAGCTGTGCCCACATTCCAGGTAACTACGTGCAGTCTACAAATAAAGAAAAAAAAAAAATTCACATTTAAATTCTAGCACTGGTTTTGTGTGATAAGTAACCCGAAGAGCATCTAACTTCTCTGACAGAATTTCTGTCTACAGAAAACAAAGAAAATAAAGATTTTCTGTCATTTTTTGGCCAATTAGAAACCTATTTATTAGCTAGTATAAAAAATAACAATCAGTTAGTGAAGGAACAAAACCTGAATTCTTGCCACTTGTCCTTCAGCTTTTTCCCCCAGATAAGGAAAGCTTCATCTAGAGTGCGAGATACTTCTTCATGAATTTCATCATCTGAGCTGATGTCCTCTACACAAGCCATAAGCTGGGCTACTCGCTGACGGAGTTGCAAGCGGCCACTGGACCCCGCGCTGCTGAAACTTGCAGAACGGCTGCGGAAGTTGTGCAGGCTTTCTAAATCATGTAGGGAGAGGGCTGATGACTCTTGAAACGCATCTTCACTACTGAAGGATGCCATTTGCTCAGAAGGAAAGAACAGCTATATTCCAAAGGACCAATGCATTAAAATCCCAAGTATAAAACAAACAGCGAGATGCCTAAGGGTCTCGAAAAATCAAGCTTTCACTCATATGAAATTCAGCATTGCTTCAAACCCAGGACAAATGCAGATGCAGCAGTGCTGAAAAAACTGTAGCACTACCACCACATTCAACAGCTTGTTACAAAAGCTGCAGTCACATCCTGCCTCACACACTGAATCATTTTTTTCTAATAGATTTAATGTGGTTAATTCTATAAGCTTAAGATTTAAAAGAATTTATTGTTGATTTGAATCAATCATGTGCTTCCATTTGTAGGTTAGCAGAAATATAATCTCCAGCTTCCCAGCATACAAACACTCAGTTCAGGCCAAAACCAAACAAACCTACTGCTCCTCTTGAGTGCTTCCAGAAACATACTCTTGCCACATAACTTACCTACTGTTTCATTTTAAAACAGTATTTTCTATATCACAGCTTCTAAAAAGGGATTCACTTTACATTTATTGTGTAAAGGCCCTATAAGCACTTCCATCTGGTTAAATAATTAATCCCTACAACACACCCATTATGTAAGGCAGTACCTTTATCCCCCCTTACAATCAAGGGTCTGCTCAAGGTGACACAAAGTACACAGAAGAACTGGAAAGTGACCTTAAGCTCCAAACTAGTTCAGTGAGCCACGATTTTTCTCATCAATAGTTTCCCTTTATAAGGCTACACTGAAGTCAGCCAAAAGCTACAGTACAGTAAACTGACCCTAAAATAAATTTCTAGAGGAAAAAATTATGTAGGCTGCAGATCTCATGCTATCATCAAAGAGATGTATCGCTTGGGAATTCTCTCCAATTAGTAATTTTTGCAGGCAATTACCCGAGAAGTCAAAAGTCAAACAATATTGAAGTTATCAGTCATTACTGACAGAAATTAAATTCTCCCAATACCTACACTACTAATAAGAATACAAGAAAGACTGCAGAGCTCAAATTTGCACCAGAAGAAGAATATTTGTAAAAATTTCAAGAACATCCTTAACGATTCAGTTTCATTGCCGGTTATGACCGTGTCTGCAGGAAAGACTTAACAGTTAGGGATATATAGGTACCTGTAGAGTAGGTAAGATCCTGTGGCATTATGCCATCCCAAAGGCCTACCGATGCTCTCTAGTGCTTTACAAGGCCATACAAGAGCTAACTGCGGCGAGGAAAGGACTACAGCAATTCCAGTTCTCACTTGATGCCACAAACAGACCCGTTACCAACAGATCGGTGGCTGCTCAAGCTATCCTCTCCTTCCGTACTCAGCACCACGGCATCTTAAAACACCTGCGAATCCCCTCCCAATGTAGCAGAAGCCTTCAGCACCACGAGAGCGCTGCCCTGAGCGGGCCTGCCACAGATCAGCTCCTGAATCCAAACAATTTTTAAAAGATGGCACTCGGTGTCACCGGCTCCTGTCATTATGCAACAGCAGAGAGGGTGGTGGTGGTGGTTTGTTTTTTTTTTTTTTTAAGGCTCAGAGAGTCATCCCCAACAGGCCGTTACAACCATTAGGCTACCCCTAAGTAAACACGAGGTTTATCTGCCGTTTTTCCTCGTTGCGGAGGACTGCTCACAGGCTCCGTTAAGCAGAGGCTTCCCCTCGCCCGCCGTCGGCGACACCGCACCGCGGAGGACGCGGCGCGAACAAACGCGCTCCCCTCGGGCCC